GTTGAACACCACACAAGAAAGAGACAATAAGAAGAAAAAAAATCAAAAGCCTCAGTTCAGCTAGAACTGTGTCTATCTCTCAAATACTTTACCTCTCTCATAAAAACTTTGTAGTGAGAGTCAGGAGGAGAGAAAGTCTAAAATTCTTGTCAGTCAATAAATTCTTGTTTGATTCAACTATATAGTCTCCAATCTGTTCCCTACGCTGCCAGTTCACCTTTCAAGTAGTTCAGATAGTGTGGAGGCAGAACACTTATGTAATGTAAATTGTGATACATGATTGCAGCCATTAACAATACAACAATAAAGTGAGCATCTCTAAATATGTGAATGCCTGAATAATTTCACTCTTGCCTATAAAATATTTTTTTGGTCAATGTTAGGGTCCTGAAAAAATTGGCAACAATACACATTTTCTGAACATTGCCTAGTGGTTGTTTTAGGACCTCTTCACATGGCCCAGCAGTCGCTGGCAAAAGGGAAGGCACCTGACACACCCTCCCTCCTTCCCCCACCATATGGTGGGGATGGGAGAAAGTGCAGCAACATGTGGGTGGGGCCTACCAAATGTCCTCTGATACAGCTTGGAAGTCCTCATTCAGGTCTTGGTCAAAAATGGCAAAATGGGGCTATTTAGTCTCATGTTAAGAGGTCATTAGACATTTACAGGAATCTGTTGTGCAGTATTTACAGTGGTCCCTGCAGAAGATGTTTCAGCTGTACTTCATCAACCAGAAAATCAGCCTGTTTAGCAAGACTTGCAAATACTGGTTTATTATCAGAAAATGTTTTATTTTTATACCTGTTTTATATACTTATGTACCTGGAATAATGTAAAATGTCTTGGGCTGGAATGGGTAATGAGTGAAGAAAATTAAGAAGCCCTATCTAGACACATCCAATGGGAGGCATTCTCACAAGAAGAAAGGGAACAGGAGCAAGAAAAGGATGATCCTTGTTCTCTTTGTTGCTGAGTAAATCAAGTTGTTGCAGAGCAAATCGTGAATTTTTTTTTTTGCTTCAGTCTAAATTTCTCCTCAGTCTTATGCATGGTCTTGTTGCAGTGTCATAGTATTGCCTACTTGATTTTGCAGTTTCCAAGTTATGAACAAGATAGGTTCTGTAGGTTTGTTTTTAAGTTGAATTTCTATGTAAGTAACTCCAGCTTATATGCACACACACACAAACAATAATTGAATTTTGAAATTTTTGGGTTGCTGCAGAAACAAGGATTCGTGATAAAGCTTCAGTTGAGACACATTTCCTCATGGTAACTCTTTCAGGAGTGAATTTCCCTTTCTAGGGCTGTATTTCTCTCACTTCCTCTTGCCTCAGCCCTGCTCTTAACTAGGAGTCATTTGTAAGTCAGACGTTTGTAACTCAGGGACTGCCTATAGCTCTGTTAGTATGAAAGCTAATAGAAAATTGCAATTCTTCAGAATATTTGATGCAAATCCAGTACATCCTTCAATAACATAGAACACATTGGTACAGTTGTTACAAATTACAGCAGGGTTGTGGTATCTGTGACCACTGAATTGTTAAAAGATCACTGTTCTTAATATTCCCGGGGCTTAATGGTACTGGGAGAAATTAGAGTCAACATCTGAAAGGTCACAGCTTCCCATTTCTAGATTACAGAACTGAGCAATGTCACCAATATTAAGCAGCCTAGAAACACTTTGGAGGAAAGCAGTTAGTCCTAAAAAAACTTGGGTGGAGGAGTCTTCACCAGAGAAGATTTTTAGGGGGAGGGAGAAACTTTGATATAAAAAAGCATGAGAAAAACAAACTATAGCTGGTCTGATTATACCACTGGAGTTGGGTTATCTCTATAATCGATTTACTTTCAAAATTATGCATAGAGGAAGAATATAGTAATCCTCAAGTCTTTCTGCGGCTTGAGGAAAAGCATAATGATAGCTAATCAGTTGGGTTAAAAGAGGAAGAGCTCTAGTCCACACAGCTCAGAATTAATAATGGTAGGTAGGACCTGTGATCACGGCAATGAAGGATGATCTTGCATATATTAACACCTTCAGGATTTCGCCATCTTTGCAGTTATTCAAGGGGATCTTTTGTATCTGATTATTATCACAGAACCAAGCTTTTTCTTCAAAGGTAAGGGTTGCCTTCATCACGTTCAAAATGAAGGCAGCAATATGCAAATCACTGTCAGAATTAGGTTGATGTCAGCATCAGACTAAATATCTTTCCTTTTTTTTAAAAAAAAAACCCAGTACAGTAAATGTTCCAGTTCATCATACATTTTAATATTAACTATTTATATTCACTCTTTTTGAAAAGAAAAAAATCTCTTTTTTCATGGACAGTTTATAAACCTATTTGTCATACAGGGAAAAAAAGGTTTTTTTCTGTTGGATTATAGATCTGCAGTGATTCTCTACTCCATTGTGGGCTTTGTTTAACTCACTAATTTGTCTTGCTTGTTATGGAAGTAATACTGGATGCAATTTATGACTTAAAGATTCCCTTTTTTGTAATGCTGGCAGTTTTATCTGTGCTTGTTGTATTGATTTTATGTAAAAGTTAATAGGGAGAGCTGAATAAACAGTGACTGACTTGAATAAAAAGGACATGCTCTGAATTTTGAAACATGTGGCTTTCAAATCTGAAAAGAAAAGATTGAATTGTGCATTTGGTCATCTGTGCCCAATTAGAAACTGGAATGTTAGAACAGACCCCTAAAAATCATGCCACTGTTAAGTGCCACTAAAATAGAAGTAGAAACTAATTAAAACTATCTTTCTGCACTGGAATCCGGTTAGTTGGTTGCAGCTAACATAGACACATTCAATCAATGACAACGTGTCCCACAAAATGAGTTTTACACAGAAAAATATTTTCAGTGTAAAAGTAAATACAAATGAAAATGGGCAGAACTGGATTCTTACAGTATGTGGGGAAAATGTTTGAAAGTATTTATTTTATACCCTTAGTAGCTTCACTTGCAGATAATTTCTCTGGCTGTTTAGCAGTCAAATTCTCTGCAATGAAAAAGCAAATGTGAACAATAACATTCATCATGACTATCTATTATGGGAAGGGGGAATCTCCATGGCAGGTCTTGGTATATATGGTTCTTCATTATTCTGCTTACAAAAAAGTAGTAAAACCACAATAATATAGGTATCCATAAGGAATTTTTTATACCATGCACTAATGCAGCATTCTCGAAGAGAGAGATATACTCATGCTACAACACCCACAATTTAAATATTCATGCCAGCTGTCACAGTTTATGGTTTGTATACATTTTTTTATCTTCTGAGAATGGGAAGATTCTAATCATCAAAGTTGCAAATGCCAATTTGTTAAATTCCATGCAGTTGTGTCTCCCAAATATCTCTGAAGCATTTGAGATCTCTAAAACAGACCCACCCTTACGGACAGTATGGTCCAATAGCCTTAGTTATGGAATACTCTAATGAACAAATAGATGTCATACTCAGTCATTTTATCTCTAGGGAGAAACACAGGAGCCATTGGAGAACATCAAGGAATGGAAGTATTGCCCAGTTAAGGAGTGGCTTCTGATTATTTGTGTAGCATTTTTAGGTGACAATGTACTGACTGGGGGAAAGAGGGCAACTTGGATCTGCCATGTTGCATAGATATAAATCAAAATCTAAATCACAATATGAAATTATCATGATTCATGAAATTTCAGACAATTAAAAACTTTTTTCTACATAATATCAAACTCATCTACATAATTATTTGTATCCCTGTGTACCTCTAAAAAGGGAAGGGAAGAAAATCAATCCAAAATTAGCTTAGGCTATCCTTCATCTTCTCTTTATATCACTGTTGAGAGCCATTTATCACATCATATTTCAAATAACTGAGATAGTCCTGGATCAGAATGTGTAACTTTTTCATATATATGCATAATGTGGCACAGGCTGCAGCCAGGAAATCAGAAGATGTTTACCTTTTGGGAGGAGAGCAATGACCAATATTGATAAAATAGTGAAGAGTAGACACATCACACTGGCAATAAAGATCTGCATAGTTAAAGCAATGGTATTCCCCATAGCAACCTATGGATGTGAGAGCTGGATCATAAGGAAGGCTAAGCAAAGGAAGATAGATGCTTTTGAACTGTGGTGCTGGAGGAAAATTCTGAGAGTGCCCTGAAGATCCAACCAGTCCATACTCCAGGAAATAAAGCCCGACTGCTCCCTGGAGGGAAGGATATTAGAGGCAAAGATGAAGTACTGTGGCCACATGCTGAGAAGACAGGAAGGCTTGGAGAAGACAATGATGCTTGGGAAAATGGAAGGAAAAAGGAAGAGGGGCCGACCAAGAGTAAGATGGATGGATGGATGGTATCCTTGAAGTGACTGGCTTGACTTTGAAGGAGCTGGGAGTGGCCATGGACGATAGGAAGCTCTGGCTTGGGCTGGTCCATGAGATCATGAGGAGTCGGAAGTGACTGAACAAATAAACTACAACAACATGCATAATGTGACCAGTACTTAAAGTACCCATATTTGAAAGATATGCTTATCTTTCGATAGAAGCTGATATGAAAACATTAAGAAATTTAGCAGTACATTCATTCCATCTGCTATGATTCTTGTAAGCACAATGGCTCCAAAAAGTACCATTATCATCACAAGCATTACCCTGGAAAAACTTGTTTTATCGGTGCTAGTCAAATATATATATTATTCCAGGAAATTCTCTATGCAAAGTCTTGTTCAGCAGACGGACCCTCTTTGGTTGACAGCTTCACATTTGGTTATGTGCTATATGATCTACAATTTCTTTTTTTTAAAAAAAAACCTTTAATAAAAACATTAAATCATTTATAATGCAAGAATCAAGAAGAGTTTTACAAAGAAAAAGATACCAGGGGAAAATGAGTAACAGAAACATGCTGGGCCATTGAAAGAAGAGAAAGAGAGAGGGGGAAAAATCAATTTTAAAATACTTCAGGGGCAACAAGAAAAGGGAAACAAACTGTTTGACTTTTACAGAATCACTGTTTTTTTCTGCATGGATCTTCCAGCAACACCATGGGAATGCTTTTTCTGACTCTTGTCTAAATTTGGCTTCTCATGGACCCATTTTCCAAAACCAGGATTAATTCCATTGAAGAACAATGCTTCATTCAGTATTGTGTCCTGCGAATAGTAAGAAAAATATTTAATATTGAAGGCTAAATTTCATTTAAAAATTAAAGGAAATTGAAAATGCAGACCCTTCATAGAAATATCCCAATGGTTATATTCATTGGATTGTTTAGGAAACCAGAAGTTCAGTTGTTACACTTTTCACTCATGCTATCTCAACGGCAAATTGCAATTGAGTGAAGTTGCTTAACCTCTACGTAACAAAAATACGTTATTTTCTTATTTGGAGCAATCAGTGCAATAATAAGCTATGTCCTAAAAAAAAATAGTTTGAGAGAGAAGCATGAAAATGAAATAAGAGCCAAGAGTTAAAAATGTCCCAGTGGGAAAAGACATGGAAGAGAAGAATGAAATACACTGCATGTCAAAACTTAAAGGAAAATGTTTATAAAATGCATTTGCGATGGTATCTCTCTCCAGAGAGACTAGCTAAGATGTACAATTATTCCAACAAATGTTGGAAATGTGGGAAAGAAAAAGGTACATTCTACCACACATGGTGGTCTTGTAGCAAAGTAAAAAATTACTGGAAACAGATCCACATATATCTTGAAAAAAATGTTAAACACAAATTTCAAAATGACACCTCAAATGTACCTTTTGAATATGCCCGAGGAAGAATTAGAAAGAAAATTTGGAAAAATTTTGTTTTACACAACAGTGGCAGCTAGAATAGTATATGCTAGATATTGGAAAACCCCAGATATACCTCCTTTAGAAGAATGGGAAAAATATATTATAGATATGTTGATAATGGACAAAATAACTGTATTATTAAGAGGAGAAATACTAGACAACTTCGTTAATGAATGGCAACCAATGATTCAACACCTTAATGTAAAGTTAAATTAAAAATGTATATAGAGGATCCTATAAGACTGTAGACAAGGAAGAAGTGGATGCAAAGTAAGAATCTATGATATCTTTTTATGTAATATTTAGATAGTAGACTGTGACCCCTTAATAGAAATATACTATGAGATAAAGGATTATAGAACATTAATAGATGGCGAGTATTGCACTGTATGCAACAAACACTTGCAAATGTATGTTTACTTAAATAAAATAAAAAAATTTAAAAAAAAGAAATTGTAAGTATACTGCTTTTCTCTGCATTGTATGAAGTATCAGAGAATGCTCCATGGACAAAATGTTTCTACTTCCATGAAATACACAAAAGCTAGTCAAAGCCATAGGGGAAATATAAGTTTCTCTGAGGAAACAAAAATGTTAAGTTGTAATATCACCCATAGTTTGAGGAAAAAACTGAAATTTGTCTAGGGATGAATTACGCAAATGAACAAGTAAATTGGAGGGAAACATAGGCATCAGAATATGCTGATGCAGGTTCCCATTTTTCTCCCATGGAAGTCTCCCTTATAAAAACTTTAGGCTCAAATAAGTTTTGTGAAATTTAGAGTGGCTTTAATATTTTGTATCATTTGTGATGGGCTCTTTCTTTCCCTTTCCCCATAATTCCTTTTGTATTTTGTTGTTGTCTTAACAGCAGCAATGCAAGTGATCCTTGCAAAAAGGTGATAAATGCACTTTTGCACATAAACACCCAGCTCACACTCTCCAGCAAATTTGAGGTGATTTTTCAGGAACTACATTATCCTGTGGAACTGCAGGGGCAAAAATAGCCCCATACATTTGCCACAGATTACAACTTCCTGAGATCCACCATATGGAAAATGAACAAACACATAGTGTAGGGATTACGAATGAGATTCTTGACTGTTAACAACATTGAGGAATTGTTCCCATGGTGTCAAAGACAGATTCTGCCATAAGCAATGATTTAGGTGAGTCAGAACCTTGTCAGACCAGTGAAGCCTCTGGCTCAAGGCAGGACAAAATGAAACAGATAAATCTGGCAATGCAATTTATATTAAACGTTTCTAAATACATGGTCTTGTGGGGCATGGGAATAACTTGTGACTTTCTTGCACAAGGAGGAAAACATGTGCCTATTGATTTGTACCCATTGAATGACAACTACAGGACAGTCAGTTGCATGGGGAGAGGGAGGTCCATTTTGCCAACAATTAGATGTTTCCAGAAGGTTCACGGGAATCATGCTAGGAGTAGTTTTTAAATATATATTTTCAACTACTAAACACATTTAAAATCTGAAACGTTTTAAGAGGGTGAAACTGCATTGTACATTGTTTCAATTGTACAAATATTTCATTTATATTTTTGTAACAGCTGCATCTCATCTCCCACTAGATATTTTCAAAACCAAGATCTTTCACCATGGTGCCCATTATTTTATTACCTTTTTCTGCTTCCATTCTTTTTCTATTTCCCTTTTTATATATGCAAGCTTAAGATCGTCCTGCAAAGAAACAGAACAATGGTGAATGGTTTAAACTCAATGTTTTTTCAATTATTTAGCCTTTGGTGGCCTAACTTCAAGAACTACCTAATTTTATAATCCCTCCAAGACTTCATGATTTAATTTATATGCTTTTACATAAAATACCTCATTTCAAAACAACTTGTCATGGGATATTATCACTGCAGGACACATTGGAGTTGAATAACTGCTCTCTAATAATAAAAAGAATGTCCCTCATATAAGAAGGCTATTATGAAAACACAGACATATGTTGCTCCCAAAACCACCCAGTTTTCTTTAACAACTGTCTCTTTCACTCAGTCTGTCAGACTACAGAGAGAGGAATGGAGGGGAGACCCAAGGTGGTCTTCATCTGTAGAAGGCTCTCCCTGTTTACGAAGATATAGGAATGTATAGACTAGAAAATTAATAAATATATTAATTGTGGACCTAAAATAAACATTCTTCTTTCAAAATCTCTTCTTCACAAAAATCTATAGACCACACTGTGTTTTTAAAAGAATTTGTTCACTTAAAACAAATAAAACACTCTGGCTGTTGATTGTAATGAATATACAGAAGGGCAGTTTATAACTGATCTGGTTAAAGGAGACATAAGCAAGGAATATATCATTGTTGCAAGGAAACACCTGGGGCCCATTTTTGGATTAATAGAGAACATAAAGTAAAAGGCTGATTTAAGTAACTGCACAGATGATATTTACAGAGGCCAAAAGGAACGTAATTTTATTTAATAAATCCCTTTTGAGAGGAAGTCTATGTGAAGTCAAACTAACTATACACTACACCCCTGATGCTCAGCTCTAAGAAATGTGCTGTGTCCCTGGCTGACAAGAAGAAAATGCACGTAGCCTGCAGATTGCCATACAATATTAGGGGTGAACTCTGTTGCTAGGGAACTAGCTGTGGCTAGAAGTCAGAAAGTGACAAGTGAGAAAAGATGGAAGCAGAGGGAAAGCAGAAACTTGCAGGGTCATCCACTTCATAGACAGCGGTTAAAGCTTCTTTAAAAATCAAGCATGATTTCAGAGTGAACAAAGAAACATTCTGTATGTTTTTTTCTGAACAGATTTGCACTAAGAAGAAAAACTGTGCCAGACTTGAAAAAAATTATAAATGTGAATACAGTTTCCTATTGTAACTGAATTTTTAACCCTATAGCATAATATCACAGGAGAGCACACTTATGAAAGGACCACCATATCTTAAAGCTAGGAATGAGAAAACAGCACCTACCATCCATGTTGGAGCATATCATCATCATCATCATCATTATCATCATTATTTATATTGCACCCCCTCTCCACAAGGACTCAGGGTGGCTCATAAAAAAAATCAAGCCACAATACATACATAAGCAAAATCCAAAAAAAGGACATCATATAGAACAAATAATAATTAACAAAATTTAAACAAATGATATCACAGGTTAAAAGTTATACTGGATTTTAAAACATATTGCACTTTGGAAGAAAAACCAATTTAAAACAAATAGGTATTGTGACTGGACTAAAGACATTTCACTCCAACAAAAGGAACCTGTGTACCAAAACAACCCCATGAGATCACTGGTATGTTGAACACAACTGAGGACCCCTGAAATCCTGCAAGAGTCACATCAACCCACATTGCCACAGGGATGGGTTGTGCCATTTTTTTTTTTATTTTGGAAGGCATATAATGCATTTTAGTTTGAGTTCATTTAAAAGCAGGCCTGGGGCCAGCTCACTGATGAATACAGTGGTTTCCTATATTTTAAAATATAAGCCACATGAAATCAAGCACTGGAAAGGATATCAACTACAGCCAGTGAAGGAAAAATAGAAATTGGAAAACTGGAATTTACAAATGATATTGAAAATGAAGCTAGCAGTTGGTGAAGGGTCATACATTTAAATATAGTAACAACCCTACAATTGATGTTTTCCATGAACAGTTATTTGCTAAATTCTCTTGGAACACAGAGCAAGAAGTTCTGACTCCAGAGAAACATAACTACTTCACTGAACAAATTTCCCTTGGTTTATTCATATAGGCTCAAGATTACCCTTTCCTCCAAAAACACAATGTGAGGTCTAGTTTCTACTAGATTTTTGCTTCATGATGAAAGCTAGCATAGCTTGATAACACTGAAGTCTTCTAGTCTTGTCTTCCAAAGAGTCCAAACACAAAATTTGCAACACATAATGCCTAAATATCATGGTCACTGTACTATAGGGGTACCTTGAAAATGAATAATAAAATTATAGAGTTGGAAGAATTGACAGGGACTCAATGATCACTGAGTCTGCCCTTCTGTTGCAAGGCAAGAACATGCATCTGTGAGCATCTCATATAGATAGTAGCAAGGGAACTGAAAGTACATAGGGACATAGATCAGAAACATCCTAGGGATGAGATTTCAGTGTCAAAATCTAAGTCTGTGGGAAAACTCTTGATGTCAAAATGACTACTGCTGTCCAATGTCTCAAGGGTGAGCCCTGGTGATCTCATTATTCATCCAACATTAAATATCAGCCACAGTTACCTAAAATGTTGTCTGTTTGAAAAACTCAAAAAGTCTAAATGATAAAATTTTGGGAGGGCAGGAATTGTTGGGACAGACACATAAATGAGGACACAAGAAAGAGAGTTTGAAAATGAGGAACAAGAGGAATATAGGCAATAATTGAGAGCTAGAGAGGGGGACAAAATTTCAGGTGTGTGAGAGAGTGTGGGGAGAGAAATGAAATAATGTATTAAAAGAGAAAGAAATCAACAGCTTAAAAAGAACTAAAGACAAACATATATGCCAGCCTTTTTTGTCCTCCTGACAGTAGAATTTTGTATGTAAATGTCAGACTACAAAAGGAAGTTGTACAACAAGCCTAACCATATAGGTTAAGGTGTTGAAAGTGGGAACACAGCTGTGACAATTAACCACAAAATAGAGAGCAATAATCCTATAGTACCATATTCAGTAACTTCTAAGGCAGCTCACTATTTTTCCAAAATGACTACTGCTGTCCATTGAGCCCTGGTGCCAGTAATGATGTGAGGAACTCTGAGAGGGTGAGAAGGAAGGAGAAGAGGTGACCAGGAAGAAACTAGAAAGCATGCAGCATAGGGTTTGTTTGCAAGGGGGAGGGGGAGTTGAAGAAATATTTAAGAGATGTTGCCCAACCCCCATAAAGAAGGAACCATGGCATGATTGCCAACAGCAAGTCTTTGTATGTGTAAATATGTGTGCCTTCAGGTTGCCTGTCAACTTTTTGTGACCCCATGAATTCCATAGGGTTTTCATAGGAAAGGATTCCTTAGAGGCAGTTTGGTCTATAACATCTGGTATTCGTTGGCTGTCTTCCATCCAAGAACTAACTGGTGCTGCCCCTGCTTAGTTTCCAAGATCTGACAGGATCTGATGTCTTTAGGGTATGTACAGGAGCACTGTCAAAAAGTTGTCAAAGTGGTATTTAAACATTTTCAATGAATTCATTCTAATGATTTCACAAGCACTACAGAACTTGCTGGTTTGTAAAAAAATTGCACTTGAATAATAACTAAATATATGACCTTTAAGATAATCACCGCCAATATTTTCTGATTAGAAAGTTAGCATAATTTGTGCTCCATTTCTGCTCTTAATATATACATGACCCAGAACGAGTCTGGATAACTCTGCATATACTGTGTTTTTACCATGAATTGCCACTTAAAAGAAAAATTATCCAAGATTAATAAGCACACGGTTCCCCGACAGCATTCAAAAACTAATGAGGAAAATTGAGTGTGGGGAGAGTAATATTAATTACAGTGTGTGTGTGTGTGTGTGTGATGTTAAAATGATGTTAATGGAAATAGGTATCTAAATCCTGATGGGAAAATTAAAATGCTACCAACCAGAGAAAACGTGTTTAACAGGACCATGTAAAACCATTACTGATGGTCACAAAGGCATTACAAGCAATTCCAAATCAGTCACAAATTTCTAAAAGAATTAAAACAGAACATGGCTGCAAAGAAAAAAAATAACATAATGCCAATAGTAGAACTCAAGAGTAGATATAAAATTTGAAATGTGGACTACCTATAAATGTGGCAGCTTATGATATATTCAAAGAGACAATGGCCATAATCCAAAGAAAGGACAATTACATAGTGTTCTGTGACTTCCAGTCCCAGGCCCCACCTATACTGCCATATAATGCAGTTGAATGCAGTTAAACTGCTTTCTGACACTGCATTATATGGCAGTGTAGATGGGGCCTTACTTTCCATGAAAGAGCATAAACCATTCCCTTAAAAAAAACAAAAAAACAAAACAAACCAGAATCATGGAATCAATTTGTGGACATGGGGATTCCAGTGTAAAAGTAGAAGAGAACACAATGCCCTGTGATCCATGCGACCCTTTTAATCAAAATCAGTATTTTATTGGACAATTTGTGTACTAACAGCAAGACCCCCATATCAAAAGGGGATATGTTCCTGTCCAGACCAGTTATGTAAAATCATGGATATGATGGAACTTCATTGAATTACTCCACTTCCAGTTCCTGCACACCATAGAGTTGCATTGTCAGATCTAGACATTTCTAAAGAGCATAATCTCTAGGAATTTTCTAGGTCCTTCAACACAATTCTATGGTAAACTGCAGGATCACAAATTTCTAGAGAGAGAATTCTTCCCCAGGAGTGAGTGAGTGCAAATACAGCCTCTGCCCTAACTCACTCCTGGTAATACTGTATTATTTTGTCATTCTAATGGGATCTGGAATGACTTGAAATCATTTTCAGATCTATTGTCAAAGGCTTTCATGGCCAGAATCACTGGGTTGTTGTGTAAGTTTTTTGGGCTGTATGGCCATGTTCCAGAAGCATTGTCTCCTGACGTTTCACCTGCATCTATGGCAGGCATCCTCAGAGGTTGTGATGCCTGCCATAGATGCAGGTGAAACGTCAGGAGACAATGCTTCTGGAACATGGCCATACAGCCC